GTGACGAGCACAGGAGTTTTAGATTTGCAGTTGATAGAAAAACTTTGTCTCCAATCTACAGAGGAGGGTTTCCTCTCTGTTTCCTGTCGTAGTGTTTTTTATAATCAGCCTGGGATTTCAGTATAGACTCTCGGAGGACTTTACAGTTGTTCTGTAGCATGGAGAGTCTGTCCTGTACTGCGGGTACTGAAGCTTCGGGAATGGTGTCAGGTATAAAGGAAGGGTGGAATCCATAATTGGCCCAAAATGGTGACTGGTTTGTGGCAGAATGGACTGAGTTGTTATAGGCAAATTCTGCCAATGGGAGTAGAGATGCCCAATCATCCTGAGAAAAGGCAGAGAAGCACCGTAAATATTGCTCCAAAGTCTGGTTCATTCGCTCTGTTTGCCTGTTACTCTGGGGATAGTAAGCGGATGATAGACAGAGTTCCACCTTCAGGGCTTTGCAGAGGGCTCTCCAGAACCTGGACGTAAACTGCACCCCTCGGTCTGAGACGATATTACTGGGCAGACCATGTAACCTGACAATTTCTTTGATGAAGGTTAGTGCAGTCTCTGGTGCAGATGGCGTACCCACCATTGGTAAAAGTGGGTCATCTTGGATAGCTGATCCACTACTACCAGAATGGTAGTAAACCCCTCTGAGGGCGGTAAATCCACAATGAAGTCCATTGCGACCATCTCCCAGGGCCTATCAGGAATGGGCAGGGGCCTCAGCAACCCCCAGGCCTTGGCTTTGTCTCCCTTGTTCCGTAGACACACTCTGCACGACTTCACATAAGCTCTACAGTCATGATTCAGGCTAGACCACCAGAAGGATCACTGGATTAGTTCCATTGTCTTACGGGCTCCAAAGTGTCCAGCCAGTTGATGGTCATGGAAAGCCCTTAACACTTGAGACCTTACTTCTTGTGGTACAAAGATTTTTCCCTTGTGCCACAGAAGACCATCCTGCCTTCTAAACAAATTTTGTTCAGGTTCAGGGCATAGTGCAGAGGCCTGCTTGATCACAGTCTTTAGGCTGGGTTGGATCAGGAAGAAATTTTGCGTCGACAAAATGGTGTTGGGGGAAGAAGGCTCCTCTGGGTTTGGGAACATGCGGGAAAGGGCATCTGCCTTCCCGTTCTTGGATCCTGGGTGGTAGGTTATGTGGAAGTTAAACCTGGAGAAGTATAAAGCCCATCCAGCCTGTCGACGAGGTCTTAGGCGCTTGGCGGACCTTAGATACTCTAGATTTTTGTGTTCCGTGAAGATCATGATTGGGTGGCTGGCTCCTTCCAAGAGATACCTCCATTCCTCGAATGCTATTTTAGTCGCCAACAGTTCCCTATCTCCCACATCATAGTTCCTCTCGGCTTGGCTCAGTTTTCTGGAACAAAAGGCTACTGGGTGAAGCAGAGCCTTTGGGCCCTGGCGCTGGGAGAGCACGGCTCCTGTAGCCACTTCAGACGCGTCTACCTCCAGGATAAAGGGGAGTGTTGGATCTGGATGCTGTAACACAGGAGCAGAGGTAAATTGATCCTTTAATTGCTCGAACGCTTTTTGAGCTTCCTGGCTCCAGCAGAAACGTGTATGCTGGCGGGTGAGTTGAGTGATAGGTGCAATAATTGCGGAAAAGCCCTTAATAAATTTCCGGTAAAAGTTGGCGAAACCCACAAATCTTTGGACCCCTTTCCTGTCCGTAGGTGCAGGCCAAACCAAGATAGCAGATACTTTCTGAGGGTCCATGGAGATTCCCTCGGTAGAAATTATGAGCCCCAGGAACTGAATGGACCGCTTCTTGAACTCACACTTCTCCACCTTGGCGTACAAGCCATGCATCCTGAGAGTGTTTAGTACTTTCCTAACGTGATCCCGATGGAGTTCCAGTGAGGTAGGGAAGATTAGGATATCGTCCAGGTAGACGATCACAAAAAGGTCTTCATATTCTTTAAAGATGTCGTTTACAAAATGTTGGAATGTAGCAGGGGCATTACATAGCCCAAACGGCATCACTAAGTATTCAAAATGTCCAAATCGTGTTCGAAAAGGCGGTCTTCCACTCATCGCCCTCTCTTATACGGACTAAATTGTAGGCCCCTCGTAAGTCCAATTTAGTGAAGACTCGGGCCGTTCGGAATCTCTGAAATAACTCGGGCACCAGAGGAAGAGGATACCGTTTTTTGATGGTGATTTTATTAAGTTCCCTGTAGTCAATGCAAGGTCTAAGAGATCGATCTTTTTTTTCTACAAAGAAAATACCAGCCCCGGCAGGAGAGGAAGAGGGGCGGATGAATCCTTTAGCGAGATTCTCGTCTAGATAGTGCCGGAGGGCTTCCAGTTCAAGTTCGGATAAAGGGAAAATTCGCCCAAATGGTATTTGCTCCTGGGAGTAACTCAATCAGGCAATTGTAAGACCGATGAGAAGGCAATGTGTGGGCTCTCTTTTTATCGAACACATCAAGGAAATCATGGTAGGTAGAGGAAACGAGTTGACTGGCCTCTGGTGAAGGTTGGACTGAGAGGTATACAGAAGAATTGGTGGGTGCGGGGGCACCACAGTGTTGCAGACAATATTGTGAAGAAAATATGATTTCCTTCTTGGGTCAATTGATCTGAGGATTGTGGGCTTGCAACCAAGGTATTCCTAGGATGACTGGGAACATGGGGGATCTGATTATGTCAAAACGAATAAACTCCTGATGGCCAGAGTCGGTGGTTGCAAGAATAGGAGTGGATTCCAGAGTAACAGGTCCGGAACTCGGAGTAGTGCCATCCGCAAGTAAGACAACAAGTCTCTGTTTCTTAGGCAGAAAAGGGATGTGTAAGTCCTTGGCCAGTTGGACATGGGAGAATGACATGCATGGTTAAAGTCACGGATAGCTGAAGGTACAAAGGATGCGGCTGGCTGGACTTACTTGGGCGCACTGGGCAGTTACACAGGAAGTGGCCTGTGGCCCCACAGTAGAGACAGAGGTTGCCTTGCTGTCTGCGTAGCCTTTCTTGCGGAGTTAGGGCAGGTCAGAGAAGGCCGATTTGCATAGGTTCGACCTCAGACTTGTTGATGGGTTGCAGAGCAAAGGCTGGAGCCATTGGCCCTGGAACTTTTGGCAGAATCCATGTGGGCCGAAATGTCTGAGTAAGCTCAGCTCGTCTATCCCGTAGACGCCGGTCCAACCGAGTAGCGAGCAGGATAAGGTTCTCTAAGGAGGAGGGAGCTTTCACCCTAGCTAACTCGTCCTTGAGGGACTCAGACAGGCCTAGGCGGAACTGACACCTCAATGCTGCATCGTTCCAACCGGTGTCTGCAGACCATTTACAGAACTCCACTATGTAGTCCTCCACAGGCCGCCGACCTTGTAGTAGAACATGGAGGGCGGACTCAGCAGTGGAGGTCTTCTGGGGATCGTCGTACAGGGCAGCTATGGCTTCAAAGAATTCACTCACTGATTTGAGTGCTGGGCTTTTTTGTTCCAGAGGACTATGTGCCCCAAGACTGAGGTTCTTCAGACAAGAGGGAAATGATGAACCCGACTTTGACTGCTTCCAGAGAAAAGGTCCTGGGTTTCAGAGCAAAATATAATTCACAAGCATTCCTGAAAGCTCTGAACTTATGTCGACCCCTGAGAAAACATTCCGGATGTTTGTTGGTTAGTCAGTTCGAGCCAAGGTCAGGTACCGGGTGGGGAACAGAACAGATGTAGTCAGGTGGGATAGCGGAGCTCATGCACGGAGGAGCAAGAGAGAGAGTATCCTTTAGCCAAGCCAAGGTCAGATCAGGGGGTCAGTAGAGCAGACAGGTCCAAGTACAAGCCGTGTCAGAATCAGGAAGTCGCAGGTAACAGGAAACAGGAACAAACCACGGGGAGCTAGAGATCATCCAGCAACCAGAGGAAGTGATGAACCACCTTAGAAAGGCCGTCTGGCACCAGACTGAGGCTGATGTGTCCTTCTGCGGCCATGTAGAGTATTGGCAGAAACGCCAGGACTTCTGCTGTAGACATGACCCTGACAAAATGACAAATTGGTGCTTATGACATGTGAGGAATTCCACACAGATATAAACTTTGTCATACTATAAATAGCAGATTAGGATCTCCAGACACTAGTTTCAAAGAAGACCAGCACCACAAGTGAGTAAAATCCATTGTTTGTTTAGCCATTTATAAGCACATCAATGCATTGTGTACAGGATGACGCGTTTCGACCATGAGGGTCTTTGTCAAATTTGACATAATGCACTTCAACCACAAGACTCTTCTTCAAATTTGTCAGGATAACCATTGTGGTCAAAACACATTATCCTGTGTACATTGACATTGCTGTGCTTTAAATGGATAAATAAACTATAGATTTTATGTATAAATGTAGCCTGTGCAGAGGACTAATTGATTAGACTGGCTGCTGCAAGCAAAAGCACAAAAGTGTTATGGGGAACAATTGTGTGAGTACAAACAGAAATGTTGCTGTGCTGCCTCTATTATTGTGATGGATATGGTAAAATGCCTATCTGGTTTCCTGTTGAATATATACATTTTTCTATACGTTTTATACATATCTACTTTTATATATTTCTAAATATATATGTTGTGTGTATATCTTTTGTCTGCTGGGCTTTGTAGTCCTCCTTAACTCAAAAATGTTTGTTCAGCAATGTTCTCAACCCCTCCCGTCGAGCTGTGAAGATCTTGCAATTGCGCCTTGAATATGTGAGGGAGTAAAGAGATAACTTTGTCTAACGCCCACTTTATTCCCACCACCCCAGCCCAAGCACAACCCACCATGACAACTTCCTGTAGCAGCCATCTTGCTGCACCTGTGTTGTCACTTCCTGCCCAGCCCAGTACACTTCCTGGTAGCAGCCATCTTGCTGCACCTGTATTATCACTTCCTGCCCAGCCCAGTGCACTTCCGCCTGGCGGCCATCTTGGTACACCCAGAAGGCCCAACCAAGGCATATACCCAGTTCTTCCTGTTCTAAACTGGGATGGCTCATACCACATTCCCGTATTCCCTACAGTAGAAGCCGGACATATGAATGACAATGCATTTGAGTCGGATTATCAACAGCTGCAAGTGGCAAGGACGCCAATAGGTATGACTCCCAAACCCATGCCAGACATCCAATTGAATGATGATGCATCTGAATGGAGTGATCGACAGCTGGAAGCGACAAGGGCGCCCACAGATTTGATTCCCAAACCCACGCACAGTGGAGTACAACCTAAACAGGAACAGTATACAGGACAGCCCCGACATCCAAGATTACCAGAAGGGGCACCAGTAATGTATGTCGCTTTTACCCCATCACAAGCAGCAGCCCTAGTGATGAGTCTGCCTGACCCAGAGAAACAGCCAATGCCCTTCTACTGCAGGGTAGTGCAGATACAAGAAACTTACTCAGCCGCCTGGAGAGACTTGATCAGCCTATGCCAAATTAAAGCAGGACATGTTTTCTGGCCGGTCATGCAGACGGCCTTCAGTGATGCTTGCCTGACAAGTGCCACTTCCTATTCATCAGGTGAGGAGTTCTGTTCCCAGCTTCACGACTGGGCAAAGGAGAAATTGGCGGATCGGACCACCACGATCCAAGACATCACCCAAGATATAGGGGAATCTGTGGAGAAGTATCATGCCAGACTCATACAGGCTTTTGATGATCTGGGCTTCTCTCAATATGAAAAGGCACACATACACATGCTCTCAACTGCTTTTGTCTCAGGGCTCAAAGAGGATATCAGAAAAGGCCTGATGGTGGCCCGCCCTGAGTACCGCTCTATGAAGATGTCTGATTTACTGTTGGTGGCCAGAGGCATAGAAAACCAAAAAGGGAAAAAAACAGTGCCCCTCATAGTGGTCAATGACGGAGATCCCACCTACACTCGTCCACTGCCCAATATCAGGGAAAGGATCACCTGTTATAACTGTGGGAAACAGGGACACTTTAGAAGAGAATGCAGAGCTCCAAGACATCCCAGATAAGACAGGGACCCCCGGGAAGGGCAGCGCGAACATCAACCACCACGTCCCAACTCTCGCTAGGAAATGGGCAAACCCGTGTCACCCCTTATGGCAGTGTCCTCAAATGGGACTGGGGGGCCCCTTGCAAATTTCACGTTACCCATACAAGGAAAACCTACCACTGTTCTCGTTGACACGGGTGCAGCCAGGAGTGTGCTGAGGGCTGAGGACCTGCCTGCTGATTCCTTCCTTTCCACTTGACGTTTCCTGCATGGGTGTGGATGGGGTGCCCCGCTCCAGCCCACTTACAGAACCACTCCAAGTGGGGACATTTCCTGATTTTCTTGCCAGATTTGTGGTGTCCTCTACATGTTCCTTAAATCTGCTAGGAGCTGATGTGCTGTCCAGACTGCAGGCCTCAATCATTTTCACGCCTGAAGGGGGAGTGAAAGTACACAATCCCCTATCCTTGGAGGACTCCTCTGCCTTGTGCTCCTTACCCCTCATGATGACATTACATGAAGCAATAACCCCAGGTGCAATTCCACAGGAAGTACTTGATAGAATCCCTACATTCTTATGGTCCACAGGACCCGAAGACATTGGTCACTTGAAGGTGCCACCGGTTTCAGTCAAGCTCAAAGAGGGTGCATCATTGCCCCGAAAGCCTCAATACCCACTCAAACTGGTGCAGTCAGTAGCTATATCAATACATGTAGTTGCTCTAGTCCAGAATGGAGCCTTGGTCCCCTGCACCTCACCATGTAACACACCCCTATTTCCTGTCAAGAAGAAAACGCCGAAGGGGGAACCAGACAGGTACAGAATGGTGCAGGATCTGCAATTGTGCAGGGTGGTGCAGGATACCCCAATTGTGCCAAATCCACATACCTTATTATCAGGTGTACCTCCAGAGGCTGAGTACTTCACAGTGGTGGACCTGGCCAATGCCTTCTTCAGTGTGCCTCTTGCTCAAGATAGCCAGTATCTTTTCGCCTTCACCCATGAGGGCTGGCAGTACACCTAGACAGTTGTGCCACAAGGAGCCCAAAATTCAGCCAGCCAATTTGCTCAGGCAATGGCAGGGATTTTAAGCACGTGGCAGGCAGAGAATCCTACTGTGACCCTGCTCCAATACGTCGATGACCTCTTGCTGTGTGCTGACACCCTGCCCTTAGCAGCAGAAGCATCTGAAAAGCTGCTCCGGTACTTGGCCGAACAAGGCTGTAAGGCCTCCAAAGACAAACTACAATGGTGTTCCAAGAAAGTCACCTTTTTGGGCCACTGTATTTCCAAGGACACAAGTCATATTACACCGGACTGTGTATGTCAGGGCTCCCGATAAGACTAGAGATGCGTGAACTGACACAGGGAAACGTAGGCTCAAGTATGGTGTAACAATATAATTTATTAAGGGTTATACACAAATATAATGCACAATATAACAAAACCAAACCTCCAACTGATAACGGAATGTACACAGATAAGAGCAGTCAGGGCTGGTGAGGTGGAGTGGTCAGGTGGGCTGGGTCAGGAATCATCAGGCAGACAAGACACAAAGGAGTAGGCAGAGCGTAGTCAGACGGGCCGGGTCAGGAACAATCAGGCAGACAAGGTACCAAAGGAGCAGACTGGAGAGTGGTCAGGAATAGCAGAGGTCAGGACAGGCGGAGTTCATTCAGGGTCAGGATCAAGCAGAATCAGGCAGGAAGCTGACAGGATGCAGGTACAGGGGCTCATGGGAAACATACACCAAGGCACTGACTGCAGGTCTGGCCATTCCTTAAATACACCTCCTGCAATCAGCCTCAGGTGATGGCTGACTGCAGGAGTGAGCTTCTGGTTGCTGAGAGCACCCGCTGGCCAGCCCTGGTACTGCAGCCCACAAGGCAGGTGAGTCCCACCACCATTGGCAAGTCCATTCCTGACAGTGTAGCTGCAACCCAGGACATTCCCCAACCAAAAGCAGCTAAACAACTGCATGCCTTTCTTGGACTCATATCCTACTGCAGGGCATGGATCGGTCCTCATGCAACCACACTATGATGCTCTCAAGTCTGTGCCATTTACCTTGTCAAGTGAGGCCCTGGACAACTTTATTCTGCTGAAGCAAGCAATATCCACTGCTGCTGCCTTGGGCCTTCCAGATTATGAGAAACCTTTCAAACTGTTTGTGTCAGAAAAGCAAGGCCACGCCACGGGGGTCCTGGCTCAAGTACATGGAGGGCAGACCAAACTGATTGGGTACTATTCTTGCCACTTGGACCCTGTAGCTAGGGGTGGTCCTTCCTGTCTAAGAGCTGTCTTCGCTGCTCAAGCACTGTTGGACAAGACTTCAGACCTTGTTTTAGCACACCCCCTGCTTCTTCTGGCACCAAATGACATTGCTGCCATCCCTAATCAGGTACAAGTCCGACACCTGTCCATAGCCAGACACCTACAGTTGCAAATCTCCCTCCTTATTCCTGACAATGTGACCCTCCAAAGGTGTCTCACCCTCAACCCGGCCACCCTTCTGCCATTTTTTGAGGGGGGAGAAGGAGAAGGTGAAGAAGGAGACCCCTGCACTACTCCACATGACTGCCTTGAAATGATGCACATGGAAACCCCACATCTCCCTACAGTGAGTGAAATTCCTCTGGAAAACCCTGATTACACACTTTTTGTGGATGGCTCCAGATATGCAGATGAAGGAGGCAAGTACCACACAGGTTATGCTGTGACCTCTGAATTTGAAATTCTACAAGCAGGAGCATTACCACCAACTGTATCTGCCCAGGAAGCAGAGCTTCAAGCCATCACTACAGCGTGTAAGATGGCAGAAGGTAAAAGAGCCAACATTTACACAGACTCAAGTAAAGCCTTTGAAGTAGCTCATGACTTTGGTACCATCTGGAAAGCCAGAGGGTTTCTGACAACGGCTGGCACTCTAGTGAAACACGGCCCAGCCATCAAGGATTTAATGGATGCACTGCTCCTGCCTGACCAAGTGGCTGTTTTGAAGGTTAAAGCTGGTTTTGAGTCTTTAATCCCTATAATAACTGTTAACAAGAATGTGGATTGGATTAACTACATATACTATAACCAACAGAGGTTTGTGAATTACACCAGGGATGCCCTCCAGGGAATTGCTGACTAATTAGCCCCCACCTCCTATATGGCATTCCAGAACCGGGTGACCTTAGACATGGTGTTAGCTGAGAAAGGAGGTGTCTGTAAAATGATAAAAAGAATGGGAACCTGTTGCACCTACATTCCTGACAATACCGGCCCAAATGGTAAGGTTACTCTGGCTATAAAGAAATTGGAAGATCTGTCAGTGGAGCTGGAGAAGAACTCAGGTATCACAGACCCGTGGGATCAATATTTTAGCTGGATGAGTGGGTGGCAAAAAGTGCTCGCCCAAATCAGTGTAACGGTATTAATAATTCTAGTTCTTTTAGCTCTGATTGTATGCTGTATTCTACCATTTGTTAAGAAGTTAATGAGCAAGGCTGTAGACAACAGCACATCTACATTTCTCCATCAAGAAGAGGAGGACCCCCTTACGATGGAAGAGGATAAACCCTTCACCCCTCTACGGTCCCTCCCCGCCAACAGTAATTTCACAATCTTGTAGGGATAGCATCTGACTTCCTTATGTACAAAGTCTGTGGCAAGGGGGGTGATGAAATAGTCATCACCTGTTTAACGTACAGCATAAAAGAGTTCCAAGGTACATAAGGACAGATGAGCTAAGGTTTTATAGGGACAGAGTAAAATAGTCATTTTAAGGGGGGACTGTGATGGATATGGTAAAATGCCTATCTGGTTTCCTGTTGAATATGTACATTTTTCTATATGTGTTATACATATCTACTTTTATACTTTCATAATTTTTCATATTTCTAAATATATATGTTGTGTGTATATATTTTGTCTGCTGGGCTTTGTAGTCCTTAACTCAAAAATGTTTGTTCAGCAATGTTCTCAACCCCTCCCGTCGAGCTGTGAAGATCTTGCAATTGCGCCTTGAATATGTGAGGAAGTAAAGAGATAATGAGCTGCAACCAAGCCTCAAGCATCAAGTTCCTGCACTCTTTCTGTATCTCAGCCAACCAAAATGTGCTTTTTAGACTATGACCAAATTTACATAATAATGACGTATACTCTATTGTTCTCTGTGTATAAAAGGTTAAGCACCTCTGCAATAAACAGAAATGAGGAAGTAGTTGGAGTGAGCAGATGTTGTCAGTGTAATTATTTCCAGCGTGCACGTGCAATCCATTTCTCAAAATTAGGAACAGCAGCAGACATCCAAACCTGAACCCGATTGTGGCTCACAACCCTTTCATTATAAGGATATAGCACCCTACTTACATGTGGGGGCCCCACAGATGTGCGTGTACCTCAATGCCATATGGGCTTACAAAATGTTTCCCTCCTGCCCAGTGACTTAATACAACCTTAAATAGGGAAAACAATATATATGTTCTGTGTGCTCAAACAACAAATGTGCTAAGAAATTAATAAGTACAAATATAACAATATATCATCATGCTAAACATACAGTACACTTGTATGAAAAAAAAAAAAATATATATATATAGAGAGAGAGAGACGATGATGTCATATGACGAAATGCGTAGGGCTGGGTCTGATAGCGCTACACGTGTCCTCTGAGAAGAAATTGCTCTGTTCTGGGATATAAAGTGCCATACACGTGTTTTTTATGTAAGTGTATTTTTAAGTATTTTTTACCAAATAAAACAGTGTTACGCTATGGAAGTTTTCCTTTGATGTTT